GCCCCGGCCCGCGGCCCCGGTGCGCCCCGGCCGGGCGTGGATGGAGGGCGCCGCCCGCGCTGCCCGCTGCTCTGCGTGACGCGGGCCCCGCGCCCCGCGCCCACCATGTCCTACCCGCAGGGCTACCTGTACCAAGCGCCCGGCTCGCTGGCGCTCTACTCGTGCCCCGCGTACGGCGCGTCCGCGCTGGCGGCCCCGCGCAGCGAGGAGCTGGCGCGCTCGGCGTCGGGCTCCGCGTTCAGCCCGTACCCCGGCTCGGCGGCCTTCACCGCGCAGGCGGCCACCGGCTTCGGCAGCCCGCTGCAGTACTCCGCGGACGCCGCCGCCGCGGCCGCCGCCGGCTTCCCGTCCTACATGGTAACCGCTTCGGGGTGGGGGCCGGGAGAGCCGGGCCCCGGCTGGGTTGAGCGGGGCGTTGGGAACGAGGTGCGGGCGGCGGCTCTGGAGTCACCAGGCGCCCGGGGCCGCGGGAAACAAGGGGCCCGGCGACCCGCGGCGGTCGCGGGCTGGTTCCCCTTACGCTCGCGCGAGGTGCTGCTCCACCCGTGCCGGGGCCAAAAGCCGTCTCCAGCGCGCGCCTGCAGATTGCCTGGGCTACCGAACCGGCCCGCGGCTCTCCTGCACGGTTCCAGGCCGAGGGCCCCCGCTGCCCAGGCCTCCGGGGCCAGTGCCGCACGGCTCGGGTTTCTCGGCCGGCTAGTGGCGGAGGGGGTCACCGAGTTGGGGGAGGGCACCGAGCCTCTGGCTGCCGCCCTTAGACAGAGGCCCAAGATCTCTAGTCTTGGTCTTTCTGTGTTTCTCAGACCCAGCGTTCGAAAAACGCGTTTGCGGGTTTGCAGCCCCGCTAAGTTTTGCCAGAGTTCGTGCTTGGCCTACGGGCTCCAGCGCCAGAGACCTAAGCATCTATTGAGTTCTCAGGACTGGCCCCCGCCAAAGAGGGTCTAGGAGTTTTAGGGCGTGTGAGGACAAGGGGAGGAGGCCTGCCCTAGGTGCAATTCCTTGGGTAGAAATCGGGCCTTGGGAGGTTTCTAACAGCTCGTGTTTAAACGTTAAAGGGTGAATTAAAATGCTAATTACTACGTAGTTGAAGAATTGGAAACGCTGACTGGCTTCTGAGTTGCAAATTGGATTTACTCTGCTTCGGAGGGTGAATAGCGGAGTGGGGTTCCGAAGTTTGTTTTTTTGTTGTTGTTGTTGTTGTTTTTGTTTTTGTTTTTCTTCTTCTTCTTCTTCTTCTTCTTCTTCTTCTTCTTCTTCTTCTTTTTCTTCTTCTTCTTTTTAACTATATAAAGGAGGGAAGGGGGGGCAGAGCGGGAAGCCTCCTCCGGGTGAAATTTAAACATAAAGAAACTGCTTGCAGAAGAGCGGGGCTCTTCAGGAATATATTTGCAGACATTGTTCGCTCTGCTCGGAAACCTCTGTAAAAAAAAAAAAAAAAAAAAAAAAGTGAGATAGTTAAAAACAAAATTCTAGAATCAAAAAGCGGTTTTGTTTCCAACAGCTAGCCCTGTGTTTCTCTGGCTCTCTGGCTAAAGAAAGGGGTTTCCAGCCCAAGAGATGCCTAGCAGGAAAGGCAGCAGGGGCCGATTGAGGGTCGCCTTGGGGGTGACGCCTGAGGGACCCACGCGCCCTCCACTCACAGGTTGTTGTGGGTTCCAGGGCTCGCCATACGACACGCACACCACCGGAATGACTGGCGCCATTAGCTACCACCCATATGGCAGCGCGGCCTACCCGTACCAGCTCAATGACCCCGCGTACCGCAAGAACGCCACGCGGGACGCCACCGCCACCCTGAAAGCCTGGCTCAACGAACACCGCAAGAACCCGTACCCCACCAAGGGAGAAAAGATCATGCTGGCCATCATCACCAAGATGACCCTCACGCAGGTCTCCACCTGGTTCGCCAACGCGCGCAGGCGCCTCAAGAAGGAGAACAAGATGACCTGGGCCCCGAGGAACAAAAGCGAGGACGAGGACGAGGACGAAGGAGACGCTTCTAGGGGCAAGGAGGAGAGTCCGGACAAAGCTCAGGACGGCACGGAGACCTCTGCAGAGGACGAAGGTGAGCGGGGCAGTGGGTGGTGATGCGAGGGCTCCGGAGCTTTCTTCCCAGGCGGGCCGGGACTGGGGCGAACGCTGGGCACTCTCCAGCCCGGGCTTAGAAAAGCAGCTAAAGGGCTTCGTTCTGGGCCCCGCGGGATTGGCTTGGGGGGCCCGCGGAGGTGCTGGGCTGCGCTTAACGCTGCGTTGGGGCAAGGTGCGGGGTCGCGGGGAGGCTCGGTTCTGAACGTCGGGCGGGTGGGACTGCGGGTGCCCGTGCCGGCCAGCTTTCCGCCCACCGTCCACGTGTCCCCGCAGGGATCAGTCTGCACGTTGACTCACTCACGGACCACTCGTGCTCGGCGGAGTCAGATGGGGAGAAAATGCCTTGCCGCGCCGGGGATCCCTTGTGCGAATCGGGCTCGGAGTGTAAGGACAAGTTTGAGGACCTGGAGGAGGAGGACGAGGAGGAGGAGGAAGACGAGTGCGAGCGGGACCTGGCGCAACCCAAGCCCGTGACTTCCTCGCCCCTCACGGGCCTGGAGGCTCCGCTGCTGAGCCCGGCGCCCGAAAACGCGCCTCGCGGTGGCAGCGGTGGCAAGGTGCCCCTAGGCAGCCGGACGTCGCCTGGAGCGCCGCCGCCCGCCAGCAAGCCCAAGCTGTGGTCGCTGGCCGAGATAGCCACGTCGGACCTCAAGCAACCAAGCTTGGGCCCGGGGTGTGGGCCTCCGGGGCTGCCCGCTGCCGCCGCGCCTGCCTCCTCCGGGGCCCCTCCGGGAGGCTCGCCCTACTCCGCCTCGCCGCTGCTGGGCCGCCACCTCTACTACACGTCGCCTTTCTATGGCAACTACACAAACTACGGGAACTTGAACGCGGCGCTGCAAGGCCAGGGCCTCCTGCGGTACAACGCCGCGGCCTCCGCACCAGGCGAGACGCTGCACGCCGCGCCCAAGGCGGCCAGCGACGCGGGCAAGGCGGGCTCGCACCCGCTCGAGTCCCACTACAGGCCTCCCGGCGGCGGCTACGAGCCCAAAAAAGGTAGGCTGCCTGAGGCCCTCGGGGAGGAACCCTGGTGAGTCAGAGCTAGCTAGAAATCTGGGAAAGGGCGCCGGGAGTGTGAGACCTTTGGACAAACTTAGCCTCTTGTCATGTCAGACCCAGAATTAAGGAGGCCAGTATAAGGAGGAGAGTTGAGGGCGAAGGCAAAATGGGCGAGCCCTCTTTTTAGATCTAACCTGCTTTATCCACTCTTTATTTAATTTACTGTTAATATTACCATCTTAAATGTTTTGTTTTGGCAAACTTTCTGGCCAGAAATGCAAACTGCGCTTGCCTCCCTGCTGGGTGCAATCTTCCCTCCGTTAAAAGCCGAGCTTAGCAGGATTCTTTCTGCCTTTGGCTCGAGAAAAGTGCAGGTTCTCAGGAACTCTCAGAGGCCTAATTTTCTTACACTGCCTCCATTGTTCCTAATTGAACATCCCTGAGACAGGGGCTCAAGGGGAGGAAGAAAGGAAGGAGCAGGGAGCCTAAGAAACGTGGATCTTAGATTCCCTGGGCCTGCGTCCCAGGCAGGATAAGGCTGGTAGGTGCTTAGCTGCTGGGTTGCTGCGGGTCCTCACTGACTGCGCCTCCCCTGACAGATGCCAGTGAGGGCTGTGCGGTTGTTGGAGCAGGCGTCCAGCCCTACCTATAGGAGGGCCAAGCTCAGCAGTGCAAGTAAGTGGGTTCCCTCTGCCTACCCAGCCCTAAGCTGTTGTCCTGAACAGTGTGGTGTGGTTTTGCTTGTCATGGGTTGGAGAATAGAGTCTGGCTTCCTTCTGGCCTCTTTGCCTTCTATTTCGTAGATTTTTAAATTTTCCTTTTCTGCTCAAGTTCTGTTTTGGAGAATCCCTTCTTTAATAGGAACACACACACACATACACATATATCCCCAAATATATGTCGTGTATCTTACCACTGCTGCTGTCGCTTGATGACAGTTTAAAAGCTCTAGCCACCTCAATGTCATTCCGACCTGTTTTAGACCTGTAAAGGAAATGTTTGATGAGTGAGTTGTGCAGAAACCTGCGGATTAAAATTTGCAGTGGATAGTGTTTTCAGAATAAGATTAAAGAGACACCAGCAGGGTTGCTCTTTCATGGGGCCTGAGTCTTGATGTCCATTATCACACTGGACTTTGTAGGTTTTTTAGTCCAGAGCGGATACAAAAATGAACATTACAACTAGAAGCTATACTAGTCCTAGACCCTGAAGAAGGCAAACAGGCAGAGCCAGTAGACACAAGCTTGTGTGTTATATTGTGTAGGTGTGGAACTGAAGAATTTGGGATGATTTGGTCTTTTCCTTGGTCCACAGGTAGGTGTCACAATTGCTTTGGGAAAAAAAAAGTCAGGAGGCCATTCTTCCTTCCCAGGCGCATAAGTACACAGATACAAACCGAGATGTGGAAATCTGGACCACATTTTGTGCCACTGTAAAAGAGAATGCACACCGCACTGCCGACCTACAGACTCTAAGGACTGGACACGTGTTGTTGGGCATACGTGAACTTGTTGGCATAGTATAGCTTCCCCATATTTGTGTGACTTTTGGAAACAATCTTTTTTCTCAGGATATCTTGATCACTTCATTGCCACGGTATATATTCTATAGATGTGATAGGACTTGCTGTAAAATTTATTTGTAAAAAAAATATGTACACGTAGAACTAACGTGATTGAAGAACTTGAGTCCTTCAGAAGTGGAAACAAATTTGATATTTATTTTTATAATGATATAAAGCTTCTAGTAATTTATGCAAGTTGTATTGCAATGAAATCTAAAACTTTTGTAAATAAATTCTGCCTGGTTTTTATTTGAGCATTGCTGGTTATACAATCTCTGTTGGTTGTTTAACATGAATTCTCTACTAATTTATATCTAAAACTGTAAATAAAAACAGACTAGCCTACAAGAAAATGGTGTTGAGGGCTGATTTTTCCTGGAGAGTGACTTGGGTAGGTGCTCTGGTGGTGGCCCTGGCCCCCTGACCCAAGGCGATCCTAGATCACCTTTTAAATGAAGAGCCTAGTGAAATAAACTCCTCTTTTGAGCTTATTTGAAAATTGCAGACCGAAGAGAGGGATCTATAAATGTGCAACAGGGAGATACCTATGGTTCTAGTTTATTTACATACAAATGCCTTGCAAGAAAATAATTCCGATTTTTTGTTCTCTGAATATGCAAATCCCTTCTTTGTGTAAATTTCTAAAACATGGAAAAAATAAAAGGATATGCCACCTCTTTCTGCATTTTATCTTCTTTTGTGGTGCTGGAGAAGGGTCCTCCCACTGATACTGGAGAGTGCCCTTCCACCAGAAATTACTGATGGAAACAGTTGTCTTCTTAAGCCTGAAATATTGCAATTGACTTAGACGATGCACATTTATTGAAGGACTTTTTCCTTGCCTTGCTTTTCTTTTCTGCTTAGTTCCCATTAACAGGAGGGGGCGGGAAGTAGATTCTTTACTATGGAACTCTGCTACCCTTACCCTCAGGGAAAAGAAAAGTTTAAACATCCTCAGACATTGTCTCTTTATTGTCTACTCACCTCCTAATTACAGGACCAGCCTGGAATTTGCAGCCAAATAACCCAGCCCCTTTGATTAGTATCATAAAAGCAACCACTCTGTCACTTCAGCTTTCTCAAATTATGTAGATACCCATATAATAAAATCTCTGTGAAGAAATGAACAATCATTTATTTCCTCTGCAAAGATAAATTGAGTGAATATAACTTACGTTTATAAAGCAAGAATAATGGTTCCTTAGATTGCCCTTTAATCAATCATACACTTATTTTTCAAGAGGCTCACCTATTTCATCCCATGATTAATAACAGTGCAGCGGGGGAGCGTTATTGGAGCCCAGCGGGGGAGGTCTCTGGTGCTTTGGGCTGCTCTGGAATGGTCAGTTGGGGTTCATTATGGACTGAGATTGAACGATTTATAAAATCTTGTCTAAACATCTGCCAGCTTCGATAGGCTGATGTGGCCGAGGATGGGAAATTGCTAGGCCAGTTGATATTGACAAAAGGATCTCTCTCCAGTGGCTTTTGTGCCATAGAAATTAGTGGTCTCTTGCTGGGGTCTTGTTAGAAAGGGTATTGGAAAGTCATCTTAGGTACTTGAAGCAAAGCCCCCGGCAGGCTGGCCTGGGCAGGAACGAAGTCAGTGCCTCTGGAGGGTGAAATGAAGGCTGCTTGGGGATTGGATAGAAATGCACAGGAATTCAGAGTTCAGACCTAAAGTCAGTTTCTGGGTAAGAGATATCTTTTTCTCCTCCCAGCCTCCCTAGAGATGGAAATGGAGATGTTTCTAGCTGAGCTCTTGGGGGCCAAAAGGAAGGATTATTGTTAATTATAAAGCAGGAACCCTTGCTACTCTGAAAGATTCCAAGAATGGGGAGCCAGAGGGTACTTGGGTTGTCTTTTTGTTTGTTTGTTTCAGTTTCTTGGAATTTCCAGAGATAACCATCTTTCCTTTCAAATCCATTTTACAGTACAGCAGTAACAAACGACCTTTCTTTATTGATGTCAGCCATGTTTCATAAATCAGCAGGGAACTGAAAGGGCTGGATGGCGACGGTATCTCTGTCCTGTGTAATGGAGTATTTTGAAAATTTTAGGGGAAATATGAAAGTGAACACTATTTAAATGCTCAAGATAATTCTAGTGAAGAGTCATCATGTAAGGCAGAAGTTTGGCTACAGTGTGACTGGGAAAAGCTCAAACCCAAAACATCCTTCCTGTATGTGCCTAGAATTAGAAAGCTGGTATAGAGGCCAAAGCGGCCTCTCCTGGAGCAGGGGAGGCTTTCTTACCTGGGCTTACAACCTGGGTCCATTTTGAAGCACAAGCCTCCACCCAACACCACCCCCTTTCTAGAGGACTGGAGTGTTTCTCTTGGTGACAATTCAGAGGCCTCAGGAGATTAGCCAAAGCTAATGAAGCTGCTTTGATGTTTATATGCCCAACAATAATCAGAGATTTCCATAGCTTAACCACCTCCCTGGAGTCCTGACTATATACCTTACTGGAGAACTTGATTTTTAAATAGGCACTAAGAACAGAAAATTGCAGGTGTGTTTAGGGGGACATTTTTAGAAATGTAGAGTGATTTATGAGAGAGAGGGAGGAAGAGACAGAGACAGGGAATGACCTCCTTGGAGAAAGGAGCCGCACAGACCCACTAAGTTCCGGCAGGGCAGCTACACTGGGTTGCCAACTGCCTGCAAGCCTGGGCGGTTGCTGAGCCGGGCGGTTGCTGAGCCCTGCGCCCGCCCGCCCGCGCCGTCAGGCTGCCAGAGCCCTTCTGCCCTCCACAAGCCGGGTTCCATTAGCGCTGATTTATCAGAATTTGCACTTTAATCTCAGGTGGGCCCTGGGGTCCGGGCCCTGCCGAGAGCACCGAGAACACCGGGGACGCTCGCCGGCTGCCGGCTCGGGTGCTGCCTCTTGCGCCCGTCAAATGTCAACATTTGTTCCCAATAAAAGAGTTATTGTCTCAGCAAAGCTGCCCAGCAACTGCCTTTGAAACTTGAAAAGGACTTCATCCACCTTTGTCTGAGAGTCGGGAGGGGCAGGAACAGAGTGAGAGTGGCGGGCAGGGACAACCAGCGGCCTAGGAGAGCTTGGGGTGAACCTCTCCTTGCGGGCTGCGGGCTGTGCTCCTTTTGGGGGTGGGGGAAAGGTTAGGGCTGCTGAGGGAGGGAGGTATGCAGAGGTGTGTAGAGACTCCTCAAGTTCCCAACTGGTCCAGACTTACTGGGTGGCACCAAAGCCCCGTGCCCTCTAGGGTCAAGTACAGTACAGACGTTGAAATATTTACGAAGGAGGCTAAAAATAAAGCCTACCCTTTTGAAACACTAAATTAGCACCAAGAAGGAGCAGTTTTACGGACATCAGTTTGAAAAAAAAAAATCACCTCAAACCAATCAAGAGAGTCAGACAAGCCTTTTTAATTTTGGATACACGGAATTGTTACAAAGTTCACTCCAGCTAGCCACACACTTAGAGTGATTGTCATCATTTAAATTTTTTAGTTAACTAGTCCATCAAGATCCCAAGAAGATACCCACTTAGACCCCAAATTAAATCTATAGATATAGTATACACGCTTCAAAATAGTTTTTATGAAAATAGCACTTCGTGTATTTTAAGGATGTTAACCCAAAGTGGATCTTGGAAACAACACACAAGCTGTCTGCCCCTTGTGAGTGTTCTGTTAATGTCATTTAAATTTCCACAGATCCCAGGGGGACATGGCCCTTTGATGTAGTCTCAAACCTTTATGCAAGTGACAAATCCCTACCAATATTTTAAAGGCTTATTTTAAGGAGAATTAATCTATGACAATATAATTTCCCCCATCCTATTGGTTATTATGGAAACGCTCCCAGCCCACTGCCTGCTTCTGACTACAGCCTCTGCTAAATGAAGGAGAAACTCAGCTAACCCCACTTGTCAGGGTCAAACGCCAGCATTTGTAGGTTTTTCTATGTGCCTCCACTAGTACTTTTTTGCAAACAGTCTCTCTGAGCACCTCCGACCCCTCCAAACTCCCAGTAGAGAACTGGCTCTCATTTTCTGGTGTGGGCACAGAGTGCTGTCTTTTCTAAGAAAAATGAAGACATTATTTAGGAATACAATACTTATAATACAGTTAAAATAGTTATGAAATGCCCTGTTTGTTCTCTTGCAATCCCAGGTAGGAGGAGGAGGAAGAATGCTTATTTGTTTAAATCTGGCCCTGAGCTCTTAAGGAAAAGGCTTTCAAAAGCTGCTCCAGCATCATCTAGTTCTATTTGGAGCTGGAAAGAAGTTAAGTCTAATATTCTTCAAGGATTGACTGTGAGGATCCAAGCAGCATGTATGCACAGAGCCGATCTTCTCAGGACATGCCCAGGGGAGGAAGCCCAGCTACACTAGCAAGCATTTTTTATGGGGAGATAAATTGACAATTTATTGTGTGTAACTCCTGATCAATTATTAATCGTTAGTGTCAACAACAGGGTTATAATTACCTTTGGTTATTTTTAAAATATTTGTTTTTTCCTGGCTCTGATCTGGTGATTAGTTAATGCTCTCCCGTAATGAGTTCCAGGAAGCACTGATCTGACCCTCTCCCTCCCCTCTCCCCTTCCCTCTCCTCCCCTTTTTGGTGACCTTTAAAAGGAAACACATTCACTCTCTTGTTTCTCAGAAATTTACTCCTTGCCTCGGTTCTTTCCAGGGAGCACCTTTTATTTTTCTGCCATAAATAATGATTCCGCAGGAAAGGGGGAAAATGACAGACAAATAGGGCGCAGCTGGAATGAATAAGGCCGATCAAAGGATGTGGGGCTGGGCTGCCAGGGCCGCGCAGGTCTGAGATCCCAGCGT